AGCTCCATAGCTGCTTGTAAACTACAATACAAATGCAGAAGTTAATGTACAATACAATGAAGGCAAGGTAAACAGCAGCTCTCTGAAACTGAGCTCACAATGTCCAAATTAACATAAATGAAATAAAAATACCCAAACTCCCAACATATCCTTCCTCTTACCTTAAAGAAAAACAAAACTGTTGTTCTCCTCCCCAAATGTTGAATGAGTAGGAGTAAAAAAAAACACTAAAACTCTCTCTCTCTCTCTCTCCCTCCCTCTCTCTCTCTCTCTCTCTAACAAACAAACTCAACAGGTTCTTACCTTTTAGCAATAAATATATGCCTCATTCAAGCTTTATGGCAATATGTAATTGTTGGGAAACGACCAACTGCATGGAAATGGGAAAGGCAAGTGAGCAAAAGACGTTTTGGTTGTGACATCTGAGTAGAGTCAAGGTGTTACTGATTCAGTTAATAAGATCCTGCAGGGAAGATAGCAACATCTGCAAAGTTATGAGCATAATCATAAAATAAAATATTGGGATTAGAAGACCTTACTTATTTTTTTTATCCTAGATACAAGAGAAACCAGATGCAACAGTGTGGTTATTCTACTCTTTGATTCTAGACTGAAAAAAGTATAACAGCAATAAAAAGTATTTTGAATGTGAGCAAAACACCTAATGCTTTATAACTGGGTGTTTACCAAATTAAAATTGGTAGGAAATACTTTACTAAATCATTCTCACTCCTTTGCTATTTTAATGGAGCACACCAGCGGTGGGTTCCAGATCCCATCACAACCGGTACACTGCGCATGGGGCCAGGCGTTCTAGCTGGGCACACGCCACCGCCCTGCGACACCCAGCTGCTCGGTGGTGGTTGCACAGGTGCTGCACGCTATACGCGCTTGCGCAATTGGCCGATCGTGTTATAAACAACTATGGAACGGGGGTGGGCAGGTGGGCCAAACAAGCCACTGTACCTGTATGGTGGCCACTGCTCCTGGCTACTACTGGTACGGCTGTACTGGGTCATACTGCCCGGAACCCACCACTGGAGCACACCTTTACACACCACTGGAGGGTTGGTGCCTTGGTTTCCATCAAATGAGAGGCCCTACCTTACAGGATGTTAAAGGGAGCAAGGCGGAAGCACGTTCAGATGTGCAAGATTTTGTCATTATAGCTTTTACAATAAAAGTAGTACTTATCTGCATGGCATTGGTTTTCTAGTCTGGTCTACTTGTTGAAATTACAGGAAGCAACTTTCTATAATAGCTACAATAGTAGAAATCTTTAGCACTAATCTGCACACTAAAAATCTATTAGCCATGTAAGTTTTAAAGATACTATATTTAAACATATGGTTTTAAAATGATGGAGTCAGTTAAATTATTTTTTTTATAAAATTGCATGTTTAACATTGTATTTCAGATAATAATTCAGGATTTACAGGGTACAATAAATAGCACAAGTTATCGCCTCCGAAATATCTTAGTTAAGCACTGGGTCCATACAGTACAGGGTCCACAAATGTTGTAGGACTAAGGAACATACTTGGCCTTTGGATAGCAAGTTAAAACCGTACCCTAAAAAATAATGGCCGTGGGCATACAAATGCTAGGTTCAACTATGTTACTTTCATTTAATTAAAATTAAAACATAATTAATATAATTGCACTCCCAACATGTTTCTTATTATTTTGCTGGTTCATTTATTATTTTTTAATATCATGCACCACTTGTGTCAGGGAGATGGAGAGACTTGAAGTTCATATAAACCAGGAGTGTCAAACTTGATTTCATTGAGGGCCACATCAGGGTTGTGCTAGGGGGCATGGCCAGCTTGACATCACTCATGTTGGGGGCACCTGTGATGGCCCAAGAGCTCTGCCAGCGAAAACCAGCCCCCGAGCTCTGTTTTCGGCTGCGACAGCCTCCTGCCAGTGCAAATGGAGCTTGTGCAAACCACACTCCATTTTTGCTGGCAGAGCATTGTGGGCTGGTCTTTCGCTGTTTCCAAGACAGCCCCATGGGCCACATCTAAGCACCTTTTGGGCCAGTTGTGGCCCACAGGCCTTGAGTTTCACACCCCTGATATAAACAAATGAATGTATTAAATTGGTTTCCCTTCTGTCAACTTAAAAAAGACAATGGGGTCTGGCTTTTCTTGAAATTAGGTAATTTCCCAATTTAGTTTGTCCCCATACTTTATTGGGGTGGGAGGGGGATAGGATTATTTGTAAATATCAATGAAATGTGGAACACGAGCAGAGGCAACAGATGATGGGGAGGAGAGGGATTTTTGGAAATTTATTTTTATTTGTTTATTAAATTCCTCACACAGAAAAGAGACCTCTCCCACGAGCTGCAAAGGCATGGCTGAAGTTTCCAGTGTGATAATAATATCACGATTGTTTAGTATATCGAAGGAAAGGCCAGCTTTTCTTTCTTAAAGTAAATGTTCAGGGAAGGGAGAGAATATACTAAATTACAATGTGATGGCTTCTGTTTGATGAAGATTGCCAATTCCTAGAGCACTCTCTGATACTGAACGAAACAATCATTTCTGGGAAAGCTTCTACAATGCTGCTGTATGAGTCACCTCAGATCATTTGTTTATGCAGATGTTTCTGAATCACATAGAAAATAGCTTGTTAACTATAGTACCCCTAGACTCTATACCTCAGTATTCATACTGGCCCCTGTGTTACAATGACTAAAATTATGTATGTGCGGTCTTCCTTCTCTCCTCCCTGACTGCCTGCATGTAGGACCACTTGTTCTATTCAGAATAATGATGGGTCCAAAGCTTCTTGCTTCCTGCCTTCAGCCCCCTGCCTGGCTGCAAGGAGAGCTTGTTGTTACCGGCAGTGTAATTATGGGTGTTTGGTCTTACTCTCTTCACCTAAGGTGTAATTTACTTTATATAAAATGTGACTCCACCCCCTCCAAAGCTGGTGCATCCAGCTGCTCATCTTGTGTGCAAATTGTTGCTATTCTGAGTGCCCAGCAGGAGCAGGAAGGAGCCGAGGGAGTAGGAAGCAATAGTGCTGTGGTGAAATTGAAGAGGTTTTAGGGGTGAAGAGAGATTTGTCAGCCTGCCATCTCAGAGTCTGCATGGGAATTTGTCCACTGATTTCAGTGAATCTTCAGTTTTCTTCTCATGCGCTGATATTCCTCTCTTTCAACGGGTTCCATTTCTACCCAATAAAATTCAACAATTGCATTAAGGTATCCCCCAATTATATACAATTCACTGTTGTTGGTTCACAAATGACTTCAATGCCTTTTTAATTGGTGCGTGTTTTGCCAGAAAGGAAAAGAGAGCAATTGCTTTGAAGTACATACATGGCTGGGGTAATATTTGAAAGAAGACACTTTATTATACAGTTTTAAGTCTTCTGTAAATTAAAAATGATGGACCAAAAAAGTGACCAACTTAAGTAAGTTTCAACAGAGAAATGACAAATAGTAGTCCTAAAATCTAAACACAACAAGATTAAAGCTAATTATAAGAATGTTTGGACATAGTAGCGCATTAATCCACTTTTACATGTGGATTTATATGTTTCTTAGTATATACTGTATTCGTACATAGTCCAGCCATACACAAATCCTTTCCTTTTCTCTTTTTGACACTGGGCCATAATTTCCCATGATGTCTGAAGCACATGATATTCTAACCTGATTCAGCACTAGACTCCAGCAATGCTCTAAAAGGGGAAACATCATGAGACGGGAGGATGAAGCGCTCAGGCTCATACATAAGTCTGTTTCTAACCTAAATTGATATCCTGTCACGTGTGTATATAAAGCATGTCCAGATGGATCTTATTTAACAGAATAACAGAGTTGGAAGGGACCTTGAAGGTTTTTTAGTTCAACCCCCTGCTTCTGCAGGAAGGCCTATAACAAAGAGTCACAGTGGTTAGAATACAGTATTGCAGGCTACTTCTGCTGCCTGCTGGCTGCCTGCAATTTGGCAGTTTGAATCTCACCAGGCTTAAGGTTGACTCAGCCTTCCATCCTTCTGAAGTCGATAAAATGAGGACCCAGATTGTTGGGGCCAATAAGCTGACTCTATAAACCGCTTAGAACTATAAAGCACTGTGAAGCAAAATATAAGTCTAAGTACTATTGCTATTTCAGACAAATGATTGTTCAATCTCAAAAACCTCCAGTGTTGGAGTACCCACAACTACTGGAGGCAAGTCATTCCTCTGATTAATTGTTCTGTCAGGAAATTTCTCCTTAGTTTTAGGTTAGTTCTCTCTATTAGTTTCCATTCATTGCTGCTTGTGTTCCTCCAGATGCTTTGGAGAATAGGTTGATCCCGTCTTCTTTGTGGCACCCCTTAAATACTGGAACATTCCTTCTTTTCATTAAACTAGAAATATCCAATTCTTGCAACTGTCCTTCATATGTTTTAGCCTTCATTTGTGAGGCTTACATACCAGCCTAACAAATCCTTCCATCTATAGAATTTGGAAAGCTGGTCTAATAGAGCCCCCCCACACACACACACAAAAAAAAAGTACCCAAAATAGGGATACTTGAATAATAAATACATAATCAAAACAAAGTTGCAATAATGCATTTGTCATACAATTTCAAAAGTGCAGGACTGTTTTCTTGCTACGCAGTTTCTCGTTTTCATTGTGGAAGAAGAAGTATGTGAGAAGAGGACAGCCAATATAAAATCGGGATGCTACAGATTGTTGTCACTGGGAGATTCTGAGGAAGGGGGGGCAGTTTTGCTCATGCACAAAATGGCAAATGAACTTCATGCCAAATAACAGAGGTTCACAAACCCATTTATTCTTTATACAATCACTGCTGATACATGATAATATATAATAGGATGACAGACAAGGAAGTTCACTTTTCTATTTCTCTCTACATGCATGTATACGTAAAAGAGAGACACTTTTATCAGCTTGGATTTTCTGAAGTCACATGCTGCCCATAATATAAGTAAGCTATATTCATGCTGAAACACTCTTTTCCCTTGCAGGCCAAGATACAAACTCATGCCCTTCCTCCAGGCCAACTTCAGAGGTAGCATCAGCAACTTCACACTCCGTAACCTCTACTTCTAGTTCTCAAAATCAGACCACAGTTGTGAAAGACGAAATCTCACTGGAAGAACGTTCAACATCTCATAGATCCCTGATGAATGGAAATTCTTCATCCAACACAGAATCCGAGGGCAACTTCACAGCAGCAGAGGCAGTGACGTGTATGTTTTTTCCTTCCAATCACATCGACTTTTTCCTTTCCTTTTTTTAAATTGAAAAAGAAAATATCACGATAAAATAAAACAAAGTTACAAAATGAAAAATAAATTGTGGCAAAAGAAGGTTTTAAAAAATGAAAACAAGTGTATGTAAAACAGTGAGTGAATGGAAGCGTCCCAAACATCTAAGCAACAATATTCAATATTTCTATATAGAACAAACAAGGTAATTTTTTAGGGAAAACAGTTTTAATATAGCTAATAAAAACCATAATGAAACTTGGAAAAAAGTCACTTATAATAGATTTTTTTTAAAGACCCTTTGAAAATTTTCAACTAAAGCAATTTCCCATGAATTTAAATATCTTTGATCGACTGAAAGATTTATTTCAATTTTACATTTTAGTAGTGATAACAAACTGGGCAGGCAACTGAATCAATTTTTATTTATTTATTTAAATATTTGTATTTAATAGTATTTATTTCTTAATATTTACAGAAAGAAGTAGAAGAATATCATACAACAGGAAATAAGGTCAATAATTCAAAAGCAGGATTGATTACAAAAGATAGTTTTTCAATTTCTTCAAAAGCTTGTGACCAAAAAGTTATGCGAATTTCGTACAGCCAGTAAAGATGGTAACGCAAACACATATATTTACAATCTCCCAAACATATTTGAAAAAACATTACAATTTGTATTTTCTAATTTTTGTAGGTGGCAATTTTATTTATGAATTATGCTGACGTTTAATTCTTGGTATCATGCTATAGAGCAGGGGTGTCAAACTCAATTTCATTAAGGGCCGCATCAGGGTTGTGTTTGACCTTGGGGGGCCAGGGTGGGTGTGGCGAGCTTGACGTCACTCATGTTGGATGCCTATGGTGGCTCCATTTTTGGCTGTGATGGCTTCCTACAACCCTCTGCCAATGAAAACGGAGCTCGGGAGAATCGCCCATGGCTATCCCGAATTCCATTTTCCCTGGCAGAGGTACTGCGGGCCGGTCCTTTGCTGTTTCCAGGGCAGCCCTGCGGGCCACATCTAAGCACCCTATGGGCCAAATCCAGCCACTGGGCCTTGAGTTTGACACCCCTGCTGTACAACATTTGAATGCAGTTTTATGTTATAAATAGTTCCAATGAACATAGGGTTCATATCATACAATCCTCCTTGAACTTCTTAACCATTGCAAAAGAGCATGTTGTTGTTCACCTTAACACATTCTATATTATGTACTCTTAATATGACATTGTAATATTAAGATATTGTTCTCACTATCAACAGAACTAAACATACACTTTTTTCAAATGTTCTCTCAATGGATGAGATTTAAATAATTTAGGTGGGGAAATGAATGAATTTCTCTGATTTGAAATTCATCTGTTTGCTTTTTAGAAATGTTCATTTATCTAATTTCATCAATACGCAGAAAAATATAAAATGCAGATGCTCCAATCCTGATCCTATTCATGGTGTCCTTTTATGTCAGTTGCAGTTTATGACTGATTGGCTAGGTATACTCAAACCTATGGCAAACCTATGTCTTCAGTTTGGCAACTTTTATATCAGGTGTGCTTCGGATATATTGTATTAATACTGTAGGTATGTTTAATTATTAAAACTGAATTTTGACTTGCAACATGTAACGAAAGTGAAAAGGTGAGCTTTTCAGCAAGTAGAAGCATTGAGATGAGATTCCCTGGAAACTTGTTTGGTTTGAAGTAAAGACAAACATGGTTTGTTCTCAGATGAGAGACTAGCAGTAATGTTAGATAACTGTCAGGACTGTAGGCTAAATTGGGAAATAAAAAAAACAAACTGGAAGCAAACAGTGGTAATCTTTTCCTCCATTTTTACTAAGAAAACCGCCTTCTAGTGTACGTGTAGCTGTCAGTTGAGCTCAGCTGAAGGGCAGTTCTCAGACTGAGTGAGTTCTAAAATCATAGTATCTCTGCAACTTAATATAAGAACCAATTCTCTTTACTTGGTTGCTAGTATAGTTTAGGAATAAAACAATTTTTATAGCCCAACTTACATTATAATAGTATGGATGTAGTTGAAGCCAAGTCAAAAGAAGGTCATATTGCTATTCCAAATATCAGAGAGTGACATTTTTATCACTGGCTGAGCCTTTGAGTTAAAACTTTTTGCTACAAAATCTATTTTCCCCCAAATAATAAAAATCATATTTCTTACATTTTCTATCTATAAATGTGGCATATAAATGTCCTTGGTTTGTTTACTTTGTTTCTTCGGCAAACAAAACCAAAAAATCTATTAGTTTGAATGCAACTCTCTTTTTAGTTTGAGAGGAGCTGCCTGTTGACCACATAAATCTGAATCAAAGAGACCTTTAGAAATAATTGAGATTGCTAGTGGAGCACAGGGTGTTGGTCTGAAAAGGGAGACTATTGGAGGGCCAAGAAAAATTGTAATAGTGTGCTGGGAACAAAATTCTTTATCATCAGCAAAAACCCCACCTGTAATTATCTTATTAGGGGAGTCCCCACTCTATAATTTTGTCCCTAAAATAATGATGATTAGAATAGTTCACTCATACCACTGCAGTTAAAGTCATGTCGGTGTGTGAACCCATATTCTCTTGGGCTCCACTGAACTCAGCCAGCAAAAGCCATTCTTAAACTTAAGCTGAAAGTTTTTCTTCTCAGAAAGCATTTACATACAAAGACAGAACTCGCTCTTCTTATTCTGCAGACATAGCTGTAGATATAGTTGGATCTTGGCAACCATTACTGTATCAGTAACAAATGTTCATGAAAAATTGCTATTAGGATGCTAATGCGGCCATTCCAAAGTCACAAAAAGGCAGAAAGGAAACCACAATGCAGACTGTTTTCAGAATGCTGATGTTTGCATACCTGGGTCATAGATGGGTCAAAAAACAAATTGTATTTTAAGAAACAATTTATTTCCAAAAAAGGGGAGAGGAGACTGTACTCCTAACAAGTAGCCTAAGGAATGTAAACTTGATTCAATTTTAATTATTATACAGTATACATAGGGAGGGACACAGTGGTTCAGTGCCTAAGATGCTGAGCTTGTCGATAAGAAAGGTGGGCAGTTCGGCTGTTGGAATCCTTAGCACTGTGTAACAGACTAAGCTCTCATTACTTGTCCCAGCTTCTGCCAACCTAGAAGTTTGAAAGCATGTAAAAATGCAAGTAGAAAAATAGGAACCACCTTTGGTGGGAAAATAATAGCGTTCCATGTACCTTGGGCATTTAGTCATGCCGGCCACATGACCATGGAGACGTCTTTGAACAGCGCTGGTTCTTCGGCTTTGAAACGGAAATGAGCACCGCCCACTAGAGTCAGGAATGACTGGCACATATATGTGAGGGAACCTTTACCTTTACCTATACACAGGGTGTAGGTGATATATGTAATAATATGCAGCAGTACATACCGCCTCTTAGTTCATAGCCTCATAGTTATGAATTAAACAAGATAGTGGTGGCTAAGAGGTTAAGGACAATATTATAAAATGCAACCAAACTTTGATTTGGAATGCTTTGAGATCATCAACTGAAAAGTGTTCTAGAAGTCCCCAGTCCCCAATCCCCAATCCGTAGACTGGCACTGGGCCATAGCATGCCAGAAACCAGGGCATGCAAACTACTGAAGCTCCATCCGCAGTATGCAGGCAGCACACAAAACCACACCCCTTTTGGTCTGCAGGACCACCTCTGTCTATAGAAGCAGTCCCTGGTGCCCAAAGGTTTGGAGACTGCTGTTCTAGAAATCTTCAAAATAAAATTGAAAATTGTTAAAGTTGAGTGTTTCATAATCATGACAAGTACTCATTGGCCAGAAATTGTTTCTATCTATTCTCCAGGAAAATAATCCTTATAGAAAGCCAAATTATTGTTCCATTCTGTCCCGTTCTTTAAAGGGGGAAATATTCACAGAATGCTTTCATGCTCATTTCATGCAACCATTATTGATCATCAACAGCTCTGGCCTGTAGCTAAAAAAATTCTTTTGATGTTTTATCTGTCTAGCTTAGCATTCTCTTATGTGTTTGTTGCTGGGTTCGTAATGAAATTCTGCTTATAGATGACTCACGTAGAAGGAGAGTAGTTCAGTTTTGTTGCTTGCAAAGAGTGCTTTTGCAGGACCGAGCATCCAATTTTATTGATCAAACCAAAATCAAAGCAACTAGATATTTTCTGCCTTTACCAAAAGATATATACTTAAATGGAAACCACAAGTTACCGGTATGTGTCCTTGCACATTCCATTCTACTTGTGTTCTTTAATTCCAGTATTCATAATAAAGATTTGAGTATGAGTAGCACCCTTTTGATAGGTTACCCGTAACTAAAGAAACTAGGATTGTACAGCCAGGCATCTACTTACTGTGCATTTCCTGGCTCCACAGTATCTTGACACAAGGAGCATCTTGTGCTTGAAGGCCATGCATGGTGCTCTCAGTATGACTCAGTGTGGCCTTTTTCATCTGGGAAGTCCAGGAGCCCTGTCCAACTGACACCCCAGAAAGAATATAGCTTCTGTTTCTTGAATTGGCTCGTCGTTTCTTTAGCTTTCAACACTTTCTGCTAATTCACTGCTGCTTTATAAATCAGAGAGAGGAAATGTAAAACTTACCTCCTCCCCCACCCCAAAAAAATACAAGATCTCCTGGGGGGGTCTGGTTCATTGCTTTTTAACCAACCCACCCTTTTGCTTGGCTCTGGTCTAACAAGATTATGTTATTTATTTATATATCATATTTATATAGCAGGCCATCTAACATGAAAGTAGCTCCGGATGGTATATAGCACTTAATTTAAAAACTATAAAAAGTCAGTTTAAAAAAGGGGGGAGATATTAATTACAGTAAGGAGGTCATATCACAAAATCTCTCCATATCAGACCCCAAATCCTGATAATGTAGCCTGATTTTGAGGGATTTTCAGAACGTTGAGAGGGATGAAGATAATCTCACATACATGAATCCATATGTATTTATAGTTCATAA